GCCTCAGCCCTGCTCCAAGGTTCTGCCTCCTGGGGCCACAGCCCCTGTTCAGGGACCCTCCAGCTGGCTGGGAGCTCACGCTCTACTGGCCCTTCCATGATCCTCCGCAGCCAGGCAGCCCATCAGTGGCCGGGCAGCTGGCACTCAGAGGACAGGAAAGGGCAGCCTGCAGCTCTGTGCAGCACCCAGCACTTTCTACCCTTGTGGCTGGGGGCACAGTACAGCCCCTCCCAAGCTATGTTCTGTCGGGACAAAGAGTATAATGAGACCTGCCTCAGAAACTAATTCCAAGTATAAAGAATGAACACAGGGGCTGGGGATGTGGCTCAAGTGGTAACGTGCTCGCCTGGCATGCATGAGGCCCTGGGTTCCATCTTCAGCACCACATGAAAATAAAATAAAGATATTGTGTCCACCTAAAAAAAAATTAAAAAAAAAAAATATATATATATATATATATATATGGGGAAAAAAAAGAATGAACACAGCCAGGGGCTGGGGCTGCAGCTCAATGGCAGAGCGCTTGCCTGGCCTGTGTGAGGCACTAAGTTCAATCCTCAGCACCATATACAAATAAAATAAAGGCAATCTGTCCATCTACAACTATGAAAAAATTAAAAAAAAAAAAAAAAAAAAAGAACGAACTCAGCCGGGCGCAGCGGCCCACCCCTGTAATCCCAGCAGCTCGGAAGGCTGAGACAGGAGGATCACAAGTTCAAAGCCAGCCTCAGCAACATCAAGCTGCTAAGCAACTCAGTGAGGCCCTGTCTCTAAATAAAATACAAAATAGGGCTGGGGATGTGGCTCAGTGGTTGAGAGCCCCTGCATTCAATCCCCAGTAACCCCCCCACTAAAAAAAAACCAAAAGGTGGATTTTCTGGCTAGGCTTGGTGGTGCATGCTATAATCCCAGCAAATGGGGGGGGGGGGGGCAAAGACAGGATGACTGAATCCCCATCTCTAAGTAAAAAAATACAAAGAGCTGGGGATGTGGCTCAGTGGTTAAGTGCCCCTGAGTTCAATCCCCAGTACCAAAAAAAAAGAATAAACACAAAACATTCCTTTGCTGGGAGCAGTGGTGCACACCAGTAATCCCAGCGACTGAGACAGAGTCAGCAGCTGAGACAGGAGGATTCCAAATATAAGGACAGTCTAGGCAACTCAGTAAGGCCTTCAGCAAGTTAGCAAGATCCTCTCCCAAAAAAATAAAAAGACTGGAAATATAGCTCAGTGGTAAAGCATGCTGGGTTCAATCCCCAATATTAAAAACAAACAAGCAACAAACCAAAATACCCCACTCCTTAGACCTGCAGCACTCTAGAAGAGGTGAGGACCCTATGCCACCTGACAGAGGTGAGCCCCAAACGCCAGGCATGGATGGCTCCAACAGTCCCAGCCTCTCAGGACTCACACCCAGCCAGGTCCAGAGCGCACACTGCCTGGTGTGCTTGGGCTGCTGTTCAGAGCCCAGGAGGAGGCCCACGTCCTGGGAGAAGAGGCAGGATCTGTCCACCTTTGGTTCAGATGTCTGCACTGCACACCTGAGCACTGAACCACAGGATCAGTCCCACTCAGAGACCCTGAAGCCCTACAGGAGCACCTCAGCCACCACCGGGGCTCATTTTTCACCCAGAACTAAAAGTTTGCTGTGGAAGCAACATCAAAATCCTGCTGGGCGTGGCCATGGCCCTGGCTGCTTCCAGAGGGGTTTTTACTTCAGTAGCAGCCACCTGTACACCTGGTTTCTCTCCCCAGAGACTGTGCCCTCTCACCAAGCAGGGACCGGGGTCAGCCCCACCTGGCACAAAGCAAGTGCTCAAGAAAGACTTCTACCAGAGGCCACCATAATGAGAGTCACGTCAGCCAGTAGCTACACAGTGCCTTTCATCCTAAGAGCCAGCAGTGACCTGGCGTGGGGACCCGTAGCTTTGTTCCATCTCACAGATACTGACTCAGAGATGACAGCAGCTCCACCAGAGACTTCCTGGACACCTTCAAACAGCCTCAGAGGCCACAACCAGCTCTGAGTGACCAAAGCTTTCATTAAACCCCACCACCAAAATCTGGGCGATTTGGGCCAGGGTTGCGGCTCAGTGGCAGAGCATCTGCCTGGCCACATGTAAGGCACTAGGTTCAACCCTCAGCACCACACAAAAATACGTAAATAAAGGCACTGGGTCCATGTACAACTCAAACTGTTTTGTTTTTTTTTTTAATCTGGGAGATTTAAATTCATTCGAGCAGGCCAGAGGTACACCTCAGCAGCAGAGCATGTGCTTTGCATGGGTGAAGCCCTGCGTTCAATCCCAGGACCACAAAGAATGAGTACATCCATTCATAAATCTAACAGGTTGTCACAGCTGTAAAGAGAGGATAAGGAAATGCAGTCCAAAGGAAAAGAACAGAAACAGAATTTTAAAATCACAAGAACAAAACCATAATCCTGAACCCACAGGTGAGAGGCTGAAGGAGCACCAGGGTGCACGTGCAGCGCTCAGGTGTTGTGGGTTCCCATGTTCCAGGTGACGGGACCAACATCAGGCCCTGCTCTGCTTTGGGCATATGTCCCTGGTAAGCTCTCTTCTCTAGGAACATCAAATTTCTCAGATGAAACTTAAAAGAGGTGGACCCTCCCAGAGTCCCGACTCTACCTCCTGGTCATCCACACCCTTCCTTTGCCAGTTCAAAAGTCCTCGCGTTTGTTCTCTAGGTGTTTATCGGGCACTCGCTCTGTCCATGCCTCATGTTAAGCACTGATAAGACTCACACTGCCCTCAAGGAGCTCACTTGCTCTTCTCCGGGGGCAGTCCCACAGTCCCTTACAATGCCACAGTTGTTATGACACACACAACACCTCGGCTTCCTGACCGTCCAGCACAGAGAATGAGGAGCAGCAGCAGAGCAGGAGTGTCTGCCGGGTCCAGGAAGGTCCCAGCAGCAGCTTGGAGCTGAGACCTAAAGGAAGACGGGGGCCGCTCGGGAGGCAAACGAGCAGGGACAGCTGTCTGTGCCAACAGCACACGAAAAAGCCCAGGGGTGAGAGCGCCAGGGACTGAGCTCAGGAGCTGGTAACGGGAGTGCCCACGTGAGGGAGCTGGAGTGGGGTGCAGGGAGGGGAGACCGCGAGGTAAAGGTGAGAGCTGTAAGCACAGCAGGCCTGGCTGGGGACGTGGGGTGGGAGGAGGCTGTGGGATTAGACTAGCCAGGGGTCAGTCAGCTGTGCCACTTCCTCACTGCTGTCCTTGGGAAGGCTACTCATGGGTGACACGGAGCTTGTATTTCCACTTGGCCAAGGCATTGAGTAGTGTATCAGGATGAAACTGTCCGAACACGCACAAAGCACCTGCACATACCAACAGCCTCGTAAATGCTGGGTGCCATCACTGCTGTTCTTGAGGGATAGTACTGCAGGCTCCTTGGGGACAGGGAACATCTAAGAGGGGAGAGATGCTCACAGTCAAGGCGACGGTGGGCAGTGCTTTAAGTGGGGAGGGGCTGCTTGGAGTGGCTGAGCCTGCAGGGCTGAGGGCCTACAGCAGATGGTCTTCAGACCCCTCCTAGTTCAGACATTCTGTGCCAGGTGACAGGTGGGTCTGCCAGGCTGACCACACAGTAGGTGCTCAGGGAATGTTTGCTGAATGAATTAATAAGGATCTTCCCATATCTGGACACCTTTTCTGAGACAAAACCATTGAAACCTGTTCTTGTCCGTCCCCACTTCAGAAGCCACCCCCACTACACCGGTCCCTATCGAGAAGAGCACTCACACTTGACAGACTGGGCTGGGACCTGCTCCCTGAGAAGCTAAGCCTGGTGCTAAGCCTGCCTCCCACAAAAAGCCTTCACAGGATTCCTCGCAGCCTCCAGGGCGTGGCCTGCTGAGGCCCCTGCTGCTGCTGACCTCAGTGGGGAGGCATCCCCTCCTGGGGTCTGAGAAAGGTGAACCAATAGGGCACTGGTACAATGCGAAAGGCTACTGTCCCCTCAGAAATCCCCAGCCCAGGCAGGGGTGGGGTGAGGGGCTGCTGACAATGTGGAATGAAGTCATTCCTTGCCTGGAGAGGGAGGGGTCTTTTCATGGAGAAAATGACAAACCAAGACTACAGGGGAGGGGGCTCCTTCCGGCTTGGGGGGGGGGGGGCGCAATCCATCAGTATGGATTACCTCACACCCAGCCAGGCCAGCAGACCCCACCCACACCTGCAGTCCCAGGCCCTTTTTCAAACAATAAGAGGCATCCCCACCCACACCACCTGGCAGATGCATGACTAGGGTTCTTAGAACAGATCCACCTAGAGAGGCAGCAATCCCCCATCTGCGAGCCAAGCCAGTGGGTTCAGGGAGCAGAGGCCAACAGGTCCCTGGCAGAGTGGCTGGAGGAGAGGGCCAGGCAGGTACAGACAAAGACTCAGCAAGCCAGAGACATGGCCCTCCATGTGAGCTGAGGACGTCCGGCTAAGGGTCTCCCCAAATCTCACTCCCTGCAGCAGCACTGAAGCCCCCAGGACGGCTTCCTGGAGAAGGAAGGCCACTTGCAGAACCACCAAGAGGAAGAATAGAGATGGGACAGACATACGAATGGACAGAGGGAGACATCAAATGACCTGGGAAGCAGAAAAAGAAGGGGGACACAAAAGTGCAGAGCACTCAAGGTACCAAAAACCGAGCTGGAGACACAGGGACACAGGAAAGACCCAGATGCAGGGAAGGAGAGCAGATTGGGACACCCAGAAACACCGAGATGGGCACGCAGAGACAGACACGCAGAGACACTGAGATGGACTTGCAGAGGCACACTGACACGGAGATGGACACGCAGAAAAGGACACACGGGGCGGACAAGCAGGGACCCAGGTGCAGACACACGGAGGTGGACAGCAAGGAGGCGGACAGCAGGAACGCGGCCCGCAGAGCCGCGCGGAGGCGCACCGGGCGACGCTCGCGACCCCGCCGGCCCCCGGCCTCGCCCGCCGGCCCCCGCCGGCCCCGCCGCCCACTCACCGAGGCCGCAGACCTCGCGGCGCAGGCTCAGGCGGCCGCGCTCCTCCGCTATGGCGCGCAGCATGTGCTGCAGCGAGCGCTCCTCGGCCTCGGCGCCGCCCGC